GAAAAGAACAGCTGGGTCAAGCTGTTCTTCCCACTGTGCTGGTAGCAATTTCTCAACATACTGTTTCATACCTCCTTGTCAGCTACTTCTCTGGGTCCATAAAATCATAGGATCTGGGACTGTTTTGATCTCTTTTCCCTGTCCTCCTCTGTGTACGTGAGGAATGTCTGGTATAAGTGAGCCTTTCCAGATATCTTGCCATGTTTTTCATCGAAGTGAATGTAAAAAAGAGATTGATTCTCCATAGGGAGGGCTGATGCTGACCTTCTGTCCTTTCTTCAGGCTGTATGGCTGCACTTCCAGCTCCTGTGCTTGGGGCAGAGAGGCAGAATCTTTCAGTTTGTATCTGCATTTCATGAGATTCACACCTGGGATGCAAATGTCTTCAACAAGAATGAAAAGGAAATGCTTTTCACTGTCTGTCTTTCACAGCAATTTGGGGTAATCTGAGATTTAATTTATTCACCAGTTGGAAAGGAAAGGGAAATCAAGCCAGCATCTTTCTTTCAAGCCAAGGTTTTTCTTGCCGCGTAGGCTCACACAAAAGAGCTCTGATCACTCTAACTAGGTGCTTGTTCTAATTATAGAAAGATTTAGCGTTGGTTACATAATTGCTCACTGCACATCAGCACATGGCATTGTTATGCTACAAAAGCCTCTTTTTTATTTCCCTCTTTGCAGCAGACCTGGTGTCAGCCTGTTTAACTGAGAGCTGCAAGGAACAAAATTAATCTGAAGCAACCTCCCATAGTTTTTCCAGGGGAGGCCAGCAAAAATCAGATGCTGACCTGCCCCCTTTGCTGGGAATGCTGCCAATACGTGGGATCTAGAGGTTAGAGCAGGGGATTGATAGCCTGGGCAGCAATCTTTTAAGCATTCTGAGTAGAAGCAGTGGGCTGTGGTCAGGAATCAGTGGTTGTTCTGCGGTTACAAGTCTGTATTTTTGCCTTCTATATGCAGTAGCACAGTAGCTTTAAATGGCTATCCCACTGTTATGCCCAGTATCAGACTGAGGTGTAGAATTTGCAAACACAAAAATCCGTAGCAAGACTTCAACAGGCTTGAGTAGACACAGGATCTTTCCACCGTACTTCTAAGATTTTTTAATTATTTGATTCAGGTTGGTTAATACATTTTTAGTCAGCATTTGTTTCTCATTTTCTCAACAGTACATTGGGTGCACATCTCCCTAACTTTATTTTCTTCCTCTTTTCCCTCTAAACTGTGAAGCTTCCTTCCAACAAACAGTCTTTCCTACACAAACTTGTAATGGTCCAAGACTAAGCTGCGATGCTTCACTGCCCTGCATCAGTTCAAAAGCTCCCATCTGTCCTAGAAGGGAAAGAAACTTAAGGGATCGTAGCCAGTTTAGTCATCATATGGCTGATGCAGCAACTGGCCATGTGCGCCCTGTATCCTCAGCATGCTGGTAGGGTAATCCACCCTTCATAATTTGTAGCTGCTTTGTTTCCTAGAGATGGCATTTAGCAGGAAGCCTATACTGTACACGTATTTATGTTAAGGTCTGCCACAGAGTTCAAGTAGGGAAAACAAAAGTGAAGTGAAGCCAGGTGGAAACAAGAGGGGTACTGTGGCAGGTTGGCCCTGCCTGGATGCCAGTTGCCCACTAAAGCTGCCCTGTCACTCCCTTCCTCAGCTCGACAGGTAGAGAAAATAATGAAAGGCTCATGGGTTGAGACAAGGACAGGGAGAGATCACTCACTAACTATTGTCACAGGCAAAACAGATTCAATTTGGGAAAATAATTGAATTTATTACCAATCAGAACAGAGTAGGATAATGAGAAATAAACCCAAATTTTAAAAAACAGCTTCCCCAATTTTCTCTTCTTTCTGGGCTGAACTTCACTCTCAATTTTGTCTATTTCCCCTCCTGCACAAGTTCAGGGTGGTAGGAAATGAGGATTATGGTCAGTTCACCACATTGTCTCTGCTGTTCCTTCCTCCATAGGAGTAGAACTCCTCACATTCTTCCTCTGCTCCAACATGAGCCATTCCCATAGGCTACAAACCTTCATGAACTGTTGCAGCATGGGCCCTACAGGGTCACAGGTCCTGCCAGCAAACCTGCTTTAGCATGGACTCCTCTCTCTATGGATCCACAGGTCCTCCAAGGAGCCTGCTTCAGCGTGGGCTACCCACGGGGTCACAGCCTCCTTTGGGCATCACTTGCATCCTCCACAGGCTGTAAGTGGATCTCTGCTCCACCATGAACTTCCATGGGCTGTAGGGGAACAGGTGCCTCACCATGGTCTGCACCACAGGCTGCAGGGAAACCTCAGCTCCAGTGCCTGGAGCACCTCCTCCCCCTCCTTCTTCAATGATCTTGGTGTCTGCAGAGCTGTTCCCTTCACATATTCTCACTCTTCTCTTAGAGCAATTACCTCTGCACAATAACTTCTTCTCCTTCATAAATATTATCACAGAGGCACTTCTACCATCACTGATGGGCTCAGCCTTGGCCAGCAATGGATCCATCTTGGAGCTGGCTGGCATTGGCTCTGTTGGACATGGGGAAGGCTTCTGGCAGCTTCTCACAGAAGCCACTCCTGTAGCCCCCTCCCCCACTACCAAAGCCTTGCCACACAAATCAAATACAGGTACCCAGCAAATATTCCCAACATTATGTCAATCTTTTAGGAAAATATTTAATATACTATTGTCCCATAGCCAGGGAGAAGGTAGACAAAGTTACCTTTATAGCACTTTCCACAGAAGTTTGGATGAAAAACCTATTCATCTTGGAAGAGAGACTTGTCATCAGAACCTTTCCCTGAATCCAGTGTCATGTTTTATTCCTTTTAGAAGCTGAGACCTTTTGCTTCAAGCATTCCTAGATCCCTTTTTTCTCCTGTTTCTATCCTTTTGGATGCAATTGCATGCAAGCATGAATAGAAATGCAATGTGGTGATGCTTTCCTTGATTTTTTTCAGTGTTTCCAGAATCCTGATGGAAACAATAATTCTCAAAGAATTATTAAGAACCTTTTGATCTCATTCTGGTTTTGGTCTCTGGCATCCTTGTAAAGTATTAAGAATTTATTTTGGTAGCTGTGTCCTTAACTCTGTCCCAAATACTTCCGTCATGGGTTCCCAGGCATTACTGAATTGCATTATTGAATTATCAGAAAGATATTGACTGGAAACAACATTGCGTTTCCTTCTTTTCACAATGGGAGAAAAGTTCAGTCACAAGTGCCAAGTTTCAAGTGGGTGACTATCAAGCTACATATTTGCTCCAGAGAATAAGAACCTTTTACATTATTTACGATGATTCAGCAATATTTTTTCATTCTCTGGTTGTTCTTTCTTTCTTTTATTGTAATCTTTATTGCAGGAAGACTTTGATGGAGAGATTGGTTTTGCACTGAACCTTGAATATGATAAAATTTATTACCATTTTCATTTCTTATAGTAAGGAGCTAAAGATTAGCTGCAGAGAATGTTTTTTCTTTCATTCTGCAATTATTTTCCTAGTTGCCAACAGCTATTCTATCCTTGATGAACACAGTTGTTTTACTGGATCATTCTCTTGGATGGAGAACAGCAGTTTCTGAGATATTTTTGATACACATCTCTTTGGCCTTTGGAATATCCTTAAGCATAAACTGGTATTAGTAAGCCATGTATGCACTTCACCGAATGACCAAAGATCAGTATAACTGCATAGGTTATGCTGTCACCTTAACACTGCTTTGGGATCTGACCACATGATGGACAACATTTGGTTTGTGTTCAGCAGGAGCATGACGAGTGTTGTAAATCTTGTCACCAGAACCCCACTGGCAAGCGCATGAGACCACTCCCCTCAGCACCAGGAGCAGACACGGTGTTGTCAGCCTACGTGCTATTATGGCTGCATAGGTGACTATACTCACACACAGCCTTGATGTGGTGCAATACTCGGGCTCACAAAATAAAATATTCATAGTGCCCAGGTCAAACCCACACCTTTCATCAAGGAGCAGTTCTAGTTTCTCGTCGATAAAAACACCAGTGCTTCCCCAGCACCTCTCACAGATGTGCAAAAGAAGTGTTCTGAGTTTGGCGTTTCTACCTTCTCTCATGATTTCTGATATATGCATATATATATATATATATATATATATATATAT